CCCCCTCCTCCTCCCCATCCTGCCCCCCTTTCCCCCTCGACCCTTCCTTTTGTGTTTAGGATTCTCAGATGTCTGATGGATGATCATCCTTCGACTGTACGTTTTCATGACAGCTCGTGTCTGCTGCCGCGTTCATGATGGTTCCTTGATTCCACCAATCCATTTTATGAATGTATAGACTAGCAGATGATGATGATGATGATGATGATGATGATGATGATAACGCCGCTGCTGCCGCTGCTGCCGCTGCTGCTGATGATGCTTGAGGAATCAATCTTTTGATGATTGGCTCCCTGCCAACTGTGCAGTGTTTTCTTTGCACTGGGGATTATGGTCCTCATGCACATCAGACTGTCATGCTTTTATTTCCCCTTTTGTCTTCGCATGGTCCCCTTGTTCTGTTTTGTCCTCTGGCAAAAGTTATTTCCTGTTGATGATAGGCAGCAGCAATGATCGACTGTGTTATTCTGTTTTAGTCGATTTTTCGGTCAAGATTTGGGCTTCCCGGGGAATGGCTATTTCCCCTGGTTCCCCAGGGCTCACCGGTGCATTGCTGATGCCAAGCATTTTGTGCGAGGTGGACGATCCCTTCTGCATTCATGTTTCTCTCCTGGACGATCCCTCTGTCGGGTTTCCGGCGTTCCTTGCGATGTTGTCTACCGTCTTCTCCCGCACGTAACACGCCCTGGAAATGAATGTGTACAAGGTATGTTTCAGGCCCGATGCAGCCGAAAGGAAGGTGCGTTGTGTTTGGGGGAAGACGGTAGTTATGGGGTTGGGGAGAGATGTCATGTGTGCAACCATTCGACTCATCTTCTCTCAGCATAGCCATATGCCTCCCAGGCACGCAACATTCTTTCTAGGTGTTTAAGCCACTAGTACCTTTGTCGGTTCGAAAATACTCGGCCTCCGACCTTCCAGGAGGCCGAACCGAACCGAAACGACGGCTGCCGATCAGATTTATCAACGACGGGCTCGGCCTCCTGAAAGTTCGGAGGTCGACCAAAACTCGTCGAAAATAGGCCCGGAGGTACTAGTGTTTTTTAAGGTCAGTCATGTGAAGGAATCATTGCCGAACGTGGTTGCCCGTATAACTAGCAATGATGCCCTTGTGGCTTCCAAGAAGACAGGATGAATGGAACTTTTTTTTTTTTTTTTTTT